AAAAGGAGGACATGTCCTCCTTTTGCCTGACATCTGGCAACCCTGTCCCAGCGGCATTGTCAGTCCTTCCTTTCTTTGCCTTTTTGGCTCTTCTCCCTCTTTCACTATCTTACTCCCCTCAGGTCTCACGTTGCAATATTGCTGTCTCCTTTCTATTTCCTCTATGGGCAGTTTGTTTTTAACATGCTTTCCTGTCCAGGAGTCTTCTGTTTCTAACCAATTTTGCCTGACATCTGGCAACCCTGTCCCAGCGGCATTGTCAGTCCTTCCTTTCTTTGCCTTTTTGGCTCTTCTCCCTCTTTCACTATCTTACTCCCCTCAGGTCTCACGTTGCAATATTGCTGTCTCCTTTCTATTTCCTCTATGGGCAGTTTGTTTTTAACATGCTTTCCTGTCCAGGAGTCTTCTGTTTCTAACCAACCCCATCCTAGAGAAATGTCTTCTTCCTTCTCCTCCTTTCCTTTTTCTCCTCTTTTTCTACCTTAGTCTCCCAGTCTAGCTCTTTCTCCTTCCTCCTTCTCCTCAGCCCCTGTTACCAGATATCCCTCAACTATTGGCTCCTCCCCTTTCTCACTCTCCTCTTGCTCTTTCCCACTCTTTTTCTCCTCTACTCTCAGTTGGGCCACTGCTGGTATCAGCATATAGGTTGACTCCTATTCCTCTGTTGTGAGTGCTGGAGGGGACCGCTCACAATCCTTTTTTCTGTTGGGTAGTGGTTCCTCCTCACAGGCCTCCCCTTTTTATTAAAGCTTCTGATCCTTAAATGCTTTTAAACTATGATAGCAATAGTTTTAAATGATTCTTTTATTCTCGATGCACTGTTCTTCGCTTTGCTGGTCCTCTTTTTACATTTTGCCTTTTGTTATTTTAATTTTCTTTATTAATCTCTTTTGAGGAGAAGGCTGATAGAAATGCATTCAGCATGTAAAGGGCTCTTAGTATTCATAGAGCTGGAAGAGATTAATAGCTGCACTTAGACATGAGGAGCAAATAAGTAGCTTCAACAGATTTTCTCTTTCAAGGTTTGCAAGCTTTCCTGGGGGTTTTTGAATCACCAGAGATTAAACAAAGGCAATAGAAGGGTTAAAAATACAGCTGCCTGTTGTTTTTGTAAGTCACCTAGAGTGGTCGTAATGACCACTGAAATAAATAAATAAATAAATTTTGTTTTACACCCAGTCCTTAAAAAAAAAACCACCTCTTTCTTAGGAATGTGGGGATACTCCTGTATTTCTAATTCACAGTACAGTACTAGGAAGTGGTTCCACGTTGCCTTCCCATACCATGCCCATGTCACTGGTAGGAAAACAGCTGCCAACCTTTACATAGCAAACACCAGTCTGGACATTGATGACATCAGTATCAGCAGGAAAAATCCCAGAACCTGGCTCCTTTTCTCATTCGTTAACCTGTTCTCACCAAGATGCAAAGTAATTGTCATCATTGTTGGATTGTTGTTGGGTTTTTTTACATGGTCTCTACATGTTTATTGCTTGGGCACAAAGTAACTGAATTCCTAGAAGAAATCCTCTGTGGAAGTATGGACATCTGCATTATCATTAGACTCATTCAGCTAGAGGATTGATCATATATATATGTGTGAACTGTCCCTTTAAGTTAATGCTGGTGTGTGTGGAAAGAGGTGGCTCTGAATTCACATTTCTATTTCTGGACTTTTTTGATTCAGAGAATGGAGTTTTTACCTCTTCCTATGTCCATGAAAAGCACTTCTATCGTTAATAGCAGCAGAACATGACTTTGGTAGCTGCTGCTACTGTACTACTTTTTCAATCTGAAATGGTATTGTGATGATTCATACATTTCTGTATTAGTTAGGAGAGCAAGGCAGTAGTTGACATTATTTGCTGCTTCGTGGGTCTTTTTATGGGACAGATAATGGCAATTCAGGAAGCTTGTTGGAGGTGGAACCTTGGTACCAACATGAAGTCAAACAGACACCCTAAATTCCTACATAACTTGCTAAGAAAATAGTCATGACAATTTCATTCTATTTGAGTGGAAATTGTTTAAAAATGGAGGGGAAAGATTCAAGTTCTGGGATTTTTCCTCGCTTTACAGTATATCTGTTTGTCAATGGTAGTGAACACAAGAGGGAATCCTGCGTACATAGCAAGTCTAACCAGAATTAGAGACACGTAGTCCTGTGGTAACACTGCAGTCATAATCTGCCATCTTGCTCAGAAGTAAGCTCCATTCACCTCATTAGGACTCAAGTACTTATTTTCATGAAGTGCTGGCAAGAGGTTTGGTCAATTGATCTGAAATATTTCAGTTTGCATACATGTAGGCAGAATTTAGGAAAGATTTCTTACATGAAATAAGCATTTTTAAGGCCATATATTTCCTAAATGACAGGGCAGATCAGCCCCAAGTGAAAAAAATGTATGTAAAGGGAAGGATTTTATTTTCAGAAATCAGCGGCAGGTAGTTGAAAAATAATTTCAGCATTAGGTACCATACATCCTGTCAAAAAGAAAAGAAAACAAAGCAAAATGATTTCATAGGGGTAGGAACCTTTTAAAAAAATATAAGTCCAAACTTCTCCAAATTTGATACAGAGCAAGTTCATACTGCTTACTAGTAGTCTGTCAAATATGGCCCTGATTCAAGAAACTCGATCAATTGTTCAGCTGTTAAAAATAATAATAATTACTGCTATATCCTGTCAGCAGTGACCTACAGAATGCTTTATGGCCTGGTCATGCAATATTGAAGACACACTCGTGGGCATGTCCAGCATTTACCATTTGGAAGCTCTTGGCACCTATAATGATGTCAGAATGCTAGACCTGCATTTCTATCCAGGACCTGGGAAGTATTGGTCAGTGAGAATGTGAGAATACATTCCATGCAGTTTGAAAAGAAAAAACCATAAGAGCACAGGTTTTGTATTAGACCAGATCATTGTTTCAGTTGTTTCTTTTAGATGGAAATTAGTGCTGTTTCAAAGCAGGAATTTGAGAATGCTTTCACTATTCAAGGCAAGATCAATGAGCAAAGGAATACAGGTTTAAAAAAATGAGCTGGGAAATCATGTTAAACAGAACTGTGTTTACAACGAACCAACTTTTTATCACCTTTTTCTGTATAATAAACAGATTAGGGTTTATTAAACTTCATATATAGATGAGCCCAAGAGAAAGATTGAGGCACTAATTACCATGTGAAATATCAGAGTTTTTATAATAACACTTTCCCATGGTAGCCAGTACATTAATACGCCACTTAAAAAGTCTTTAACCTTTCTCCTGAACGCAGCAAAAGGAAGGCAAAACAATTAAAATGCATGAAATGGAATTTTGATAATATTGACAACTCCTGTATTTTTAAAATAAAATGTTCATGCTCTCAAAGAGGTGTTTTGAATCTTTAATCATCACTGTCATCATCTTAGAACTGCAGAGCTGGAAGGGGCACAATGGATCATTAAGTTCACAGTGGAGAATCGAACTCCCAACCTCCAGCTCCACAGAGACCTAAACCACTGAGCTATCCAGCACTTAGAGCAGTAGTAAGAAACCTGTAACCTTCCAAGTGTTGTTGGATTGCCACTGCCATTAACTTTAGCCAGCACATTCCCTATCCATCTCTTAAAGCTGTAGTTATTGCTGTTCTCACATCAGGAACAGTAGCCCCGTCCCCAAAATTAAGAAACCTGCCTCCTTATCTGTTACTCAATAGTATTTTTTGTTTGTTTTTTAAATCTTCTGTCAGGGGTGTGGGAGAACTTCAGGAGGAAGCTATGTAAATGATTCTGCTGCATCTTAAATCCACTTTAGGTCAGGAAATGACTTGCTCAATCCCAGTGCTTGAGCTGGGGTTTCATCACATTCTCCAAAACTGCCTTTTTGGCATTATTATCTTTTACTCGTATATCCACATTACAAGGAGCAGGAAAAGAGAAGAATGATTTTTAAATTTCTGGCTTTTTCTGGGTGGAGAGGGTAAACGGTAGAGTTGAATGGCTAGTAACCCCCTAAAAGTTTTTGTGTGACATGTGTACTCTCCTCTGGAAGTGGTCCCAGCTGAATCAACCACTGGCAGTGGAGTCCACTTGTTTTTCTGTTTTCTCTATCTTTTCTTCTGTGTGTCCCAGAGGGCTTCAAGAAAATGGGTTGCCTCAAGCCACCTGCTATCTTGAATTCTTAAGGATGCTTCTCAGTCCTCATTGGGCACAGAGACATTCAGGAGAATGATGATGGCAGAAGACTGGAGTCCTATCAGCCACTTTATTTTATGTAAAGGTTTACAAAGTAAATGAAAAATTATGGATTATCAGAAGGGCACTTTCTGGATACAGCTGGAGCTGTCCACAGAAGTCATGTTCCTATCTGTGCTCTGCATAAGCAGTGTTTTAAGCAAATACCATATGGCTTCTGGTTATCACAACCTCTTTCCTGAAGATTAACAATGGGATAGAGAGTCCTGAGAAACGTATTACAAATTAACACATTTTAATCGGTGGCATGCTGTCTTGGAAGTGTGGACCTAAGGAAGCTCTGAAATAGTCCTTTCCTCATACTACTTAGATCACAACAGATGAGCTTTTATCAGCAAGCCTAAGATTTTTGAATTTTGAAAATGTACCTTCAGCCTTGGTATAGATAAAATGGGAAACATTAACTATTCTGTCAAGAAAGTCGTAACAATGCACTGTAATATTTGTTTCCTTAATGAATAAGTTTTTGTCTGATTATAGCTGTTCTAGTTTTCTGTATATGTCACTAAATATCTGAATGAATTGTTAATATTTTAACTTTGACTTTTTTAAAATACTGAAACTGCTATCAAAGGTATGTTTTCATTAATGATGTTCATATAATTATGTCCTTTTTAAAACTTGTATTTAAAACGGAGCAGATTTAAGGAAGTGTTGAAGTGTATATTTACCAATCGTGAGGAAATCAGGGAAGAATTCCTGAAGCTGGAATTGCAACTTAAAGAAAATGCTCTTAAAACCAATTATCAGAAGCATTGCCATGAACAAATTGAAATGATTTGCTCTCCAGGGAAACTGGAGAAGGTAAGTAGTACATATACTGTATTCATCCGTGTATACGACCCTCCAATGTATAAACCACCCCCTTAATTTTGACCCTTGATGGAGGTGGAGGAGCAGTTAATGGGCAACTGCTCCTCCACCTCTGTCTCCTGCTCCTGCTGCCTCCCTCCACTGGCCGCCTGATCACCTCCTCCAGTGCAGTTGTCGGGGCTCACCTCTAGCTCATGGCCACCTTGTCCACTGCCCTAAGGAGATGATCGCTGGAGAAGGTGATCCGGCGGCGGCAGCAGGAAGAGGCTCCTGAGCACGCAAGAGTGCTCATTTGCCTCTGCCTCCTGCTGAGCCCTGTCAGTCCCACTGGAGGTGGTGATCAGGCGGGCAGGGGAGGCAGCAGCAAGAGGCACCTGAGCACATGTGAATGCTCCTTTGCCTCCATCTCCTGCTGCCTTGGCCACCGGAAGGGACAAGCTGTGAGCTCTGGAAGAGGCAATGCGGCAGCAAGAGGCGCCCGAGCGCGTGTGCGACTGCCTCCTTCCGTGTATAAAATGACCCTCAATTTTTCCTCTAATTATTTTAGGGATAGTGTCATTTTATACACGGAAAAATAAGGTAGTACTTTTATTATCATTCCTACCACATTTAACAATTCTGCTAAATCCAGTATCGGACACAAATTGCATGGTTCTGACCCATTATTGATAGTAATAATGTCAATTGAAGTGTTATTAGAGATCTGAGGGGTTTAAGACCAAGCAGGTTCTCATATAGAAAGCTTGTGTGAAAGGATTGCAGGGTCTTGCTAATCATATCTCTTCTCCAGCCCCAATAGTAGCACATGCGCTATCCACACCCTTTGGCTGCAAGCATATTCAGACAGTCCAGTGCACATAGGGTCACTTCACACAGCTACTTGAACATGCACTAAAATGGCAGTGAGTCTGGATGAAGCTCACAAATTGCCAAAATGCAATTAGCTGGCAACAATTTTCATTCATGTTTTCAAATGTGTTGATGGAATGTCCATTTTTTTAAAAAAAATCAGAATCCATCACAGGGACAGAAGAGCTTTCTAGTCTTATTTATTCATTTAGTTAGTTACTTATTTAAAAGATTTTTTTACCCGTGCCATTACCAGTGGTCTCTGAGTGTCTTACCATCCTGTGCCTTTTCTTCAGTCTCTTCAAGCATTACAGTGCCTGATTTTAACAACATGCTGGTAGAGGAAATCTAGACTTATTCTGTCTGTCATTTCTTTGCTTGTATCAGATCAACAGAAAATCTGAAGACTGGTGTTAAGAAATCTTATCCACAAAAGTGGTCCCACTTGCTGCTGTTATGAACCAAACACAGCAAGGGTTCAACATGCATGTGTTCATTCTTGCCTCTCCAAGCATCCTCTCCACCTCCACATGTAGTAGAAATTAAAACCCATCCATTATCATCGGACAGTCAAGTTACATTCACAGTCTCAGTGTCAATGAAAACGTTCAGCCTGGAGCAGGTCCAAGCAACTCTCTCCACAGTCTTGTGCAAATTCTTCACAGTGGGCTCTTGAGTTGTTTATGTGTTGACCTTGTGAGCCAGACTGTGATAGGACCTTGACACTTGAGATAGCTCTGGTCGACAACTCTGGATAGATGCAATGGTAGCAGAAATTTGCTGACATCACAGAGAAGGCCTTCCAGGGGGCTCTAACACTGGTATGAATTGATGTATTCCATGATTTCCACCCTTGTCACAGTAGAATCTTCCCCAAGAGCCAACAGGAAATCATACAGATTCTTGAATCTCCAGGGATGGAGCATTGTCACAGACAGACAGACAGACAGACAGACAGACAGACAGACAGACAGGAGAGAGACACACACACACACACACACACACACACACACACACACACACACACACACACACACACACACACACACACACTAGCTGGTTCCAGTAGTTAGGCAATCTCCATGACAACTGCAGAAAATTTCTCTACACCAGATCATAGCCATCCTACCTGACAAAAAAACAGGTCCATTCATGTGTCCTGCTGTACCAGTGGGGCCAAATACCACCTAGCACAGACCTGGGGTTGTCATGGAGGACATGAAGTCCTCAGCTACTCCTGAAAAGGTGGCCTTGGCATGGATGTTGACATCCCCCAGCACAAGCTAGGAGGATTCCAACACCACCTCCAAGACTGGCTCAGAAAGAGAAACTGATTAACTGTGAAGTGAGCACTATATCAACAGAATCTCTATTCTGTCCTGGCCTCCGCGCTTTCAGATAAACACTTTTTGTAATACAAGCCAGGTCAACATGCTGTTTCAGGAGCAGGTCCTGTACAGATCGGGACTTCTCCTTTGCCAATCTGACATTTAGCAGCAGTATTTACAATGGGGGTCAGAAGATGAACTAATACCAAGGCTTTCAGGCAATTTGAATGGGAGGACAGCTTGAGGCCAATCAGTATCCATTTTCTCTGCCTCTTTCAAAGTTCCATAACAGCCACTTATTCTGTACCTGTCCCTGCCCTATATAGTTCTAATGGCTATTCAGTTTCTCATCACTACCATCTCTTGCATGCAAATGCATCCCTCTACCAGCGGACAGGAACTGTACATATAAATAGCTCTTCACATGCAGTAGCTCTCCAGGTATCTTTTCATTCCGAGCCCTCCAAAGGTGTTAATAAAACCAGGTAACTATAATGGCTGAATCTTTTGATTCTGTCTTCCCCTCAGAGCCTGACTCTCAGCTCACTCTCAGCACTGTTTCTTACGCCTTTGGCCATCCTACCAGTATAACCTGGTGGCACCAAACCCGCTTCCTGAGCATTCTTCCTTCTCACCACTGCTATTTCTGCCTCTTGGGCAGGACGATGGATGAGCTCCTTAATTAGAGCAGCACATGAAGAGGAGGAGAGGGGTGCACTCTTAATGGTTGCATGGAGGAGGCAAATTTCAGCAAGTGTCAGACCAGTCGTAGTTTCCAGAATTTCCTTTTCCATGTCATGGTTTATAATGCAGGATCTTGTCCACCTGTTCAATTGGGCAGCCCATCATTGAGTCAAGGGACCATTGCAAGGGGACACCAATCCCTCAAACAAAAGGGGGGTTAAAAGAAAAGAATAGCTGGCTAAAAGTCATGTTCCAAATGTCTCAGTCACCTCAGCAGCTTATTTCAGAGGAGCTTTTCAATAACTATGAGAAATTTTACCATGGGGGGGAAGGGAGGAGAGGTTTTTTCTCCTGAATTTGTGGATTTTTTTCTTATGCCCTTTTTACTCCTGATTTTTAATTGTATGTCATTGCTTGTTTATTACTTCGTACCTACAGTGAAGTTCAAGTAGTTCAGATATATATTCCTATAAAGTTATTAACCATTAATAACTTATCTTTGAAGTCCAGCTGTAAAATAATGTTGTGTTTTAGCCCTTCTCAAACATCTGTTTTGAATAACGTATAGTGATAGCCTTCCAAAACTTAAGGGTAGCTGTGCTGTTTCCCCCCTGCCCATAGTACTAATTTACCACATTAAAAAAAAAAAACTAAAATGAAGGGAAATAGAGTACCTGTGCCGTGATGTATTCATTCTTAATAGCTAAGCTGCATCTTGAACTTAGAGTTCAAAGAGCAATTTGGGGCGATGTTTTCCAAAGGCAGCTTATGGGGGTGGGTAGAGGTGGGGGAAGGAGTCTATATGCAGACCATGCATCCATCTAGCCATTCCAATTCAGGCCTATACCTGAATGTTTAATCCTATTATTAATGCTTTTGGAGGCTATGGGCTGAACCAGCTGGCTGACAGCTCCTCAGTGCAGCAGCCCAGTTCTTCCATCCTTATATCTGCCTTTTAAAAATGACAATGTGGAATATTGTGACATCATGCTGAGATGGTCTTTGATTTTGAAACTTGTAGCAGCTCTGGGTATTGTGGGTGGAGAAGCAACATGAAGCTATTATATGTTTTGTTTCGTGTTTTATTAGCTGGCTGGATACCTCGGTGGTTTGGGTACCTGGGGGCAGAGCCAGAGGTTGGAAGTTCAATTCCCCACTGTGCCTCTTAGGAGAAGATCCAGCCTGCACAGTTCCAGGGTGCCCCCAGAAGAAGGGAATGGTAGATCACTTCTCTCAGTACTCTATATGGAAAACCCTGAAAAGGGTCACCATAAGTCAGAATTGACTTGACAGCACATGGTTTTATGGGAGGCTGCAAGAAAGGCTGAACAGCCAGGTCATGCTCTAAGTGGTAACCGTATATTTGTCATATTGCCTAGTTTTGTACTTGGTTGTAAATCTGGGTTCCAAAGTTAAGTTTGTCTTTTTGTAGGCCACTGGCAAACATGATCACCGTCTTGCATTACTGAAAACACGCCGTTTGCATATGGAGAAGAAAAAAGAGGCAGAGATTAAATGCTTCGAGGACAATACTAGTTGGTTGCATCGGGTAGAAAATGAAATGCGTCTTTTAGGTCAAGATGGCCATATTCCTCAGGTAAACTTCTTTACCTTTTGTTCCTGGGAAATGTATCCAGTCAGATGTGGGCAACACATGTGCTTCAAGCGGCACCTCCTCACCTCCTCCAAAAATGTTCACTAAGGGGGCTTAAAACTTGTTTTGTTTACACCAGTTTTTCCGTTAACAAACACATTGGCTCAATCTCTTTGGACGTACACCTTCCCTTTAGTTCCATTCCTTTGAGAGTGTGATCCTCAGAGAGCTGGCAAAAAAATTGTCCTTATCACTGTTGAGCTTGCCCACCCTAGCATTAGATGTTCAGCTTGGACCAAGGCAACCAAATGTGAGACATGACTGAACATACTTTATTCCACCATGGTAGTGAGATGTTCTTTAATTTTCTGCTCACAGTGATGGAGAAGATACGACTCTCCCAAAAAGCCCCCATGTGTTCAATGAATGTGTAGGGAGGAGTTTCTAAAGCAGTGTGGGATAGTTCCCCCTATCTCCATAGCAAAGCTGTACATCACATGACAAGTATCCCAAGGGTGTTCATTATACAGGTATCTACAGATGCACATGAGGGGCTCCTGTATTGAAAGGGATTCAGCAAAATCCTGGTCTAAGTAGGAGATCCCTTACGTGGAATTCTTACTAATTTATTTCTCATAATTCAAGTGCACACAGATTTGCCAGGTCCTCTCACACATACTTTTAAGTCTGAGTGGAATATTGATTTCTACCACCTAACAGTGTGGCAGGGGAGGAGGGGGCAATACACTTGGACCCTTACTTTGTGGTGGAAAGCAGAAATTATCAATGTTTTTCTTTTGCATTCAGGATTGTAACACGAGAGCATCCACTATAAAAGTATATGGGCTATATAGTTACTTCCAAAGTAGTGGTTTTCCTGTGAATTCTGGGTTGAGCTATATACAAGTCTAACTTAAAATCAACTCTCTTTTCAAGGAGCTTTCTAGAGATCTGCAGTGCTATCATTTGAAATTAGAAGTTAAGGATCTAAAAACTCAGATTGAATACATGAGGACTCTAGTATCCCTTCAAGAACAGCAACATAAACAGACAGAAAAGTAAGTGCTTGTTGGAAAGAATGTTGAAGATCTTTCTGATGTATGGCTATTTTTGATGTATTGCAGTGGTGCTAATTTTACATGACATCTGTGGAGTACATTTACACGTAAAACCTGAAACAAAAACAAGATGTTTGTTTTTCCTTTTTATATTCTCCACAAAAAAATGAGTAGGCAATTGTACATTCTTCAGAACATTGCTATGGTAACTCCTGCAACTTTTACCCTCCTCTTCCCCATAGGACGTGGGGTTGGGAAGCCACGCCACTGCCTCTTAGTGGGCGCCCACCAGAGGAAGCCTAGCTGGGAAGCCGGAGCATCCATTGAACAGCTGTGTGGCTGAACTACAGAACCACAAGTTGTGCCCATCTCTAGCACACACTCCCTGGAGGGGGAGGTTCACAATGCATTAAAATCACTTACAATAAATAAAATACTTTCCAATAAATGCCATAAAAATATAAAACCCTGTCCCTAGCTAAACCCCATCTTTAAAGAGGATTAAACAAATTAAAATAGATTTGAATATCTCGGGTAGCAAAACCACCAATAAAAGGCAGCTTTAAATAATACTGGTTTTACTAATTTCTAAAAAAACTGTTAGGGAATGCACTTGACAAATCTGTTGGAAGCTTGTTCCAAAGAAGAGGAGCCACAACCAAAAAAGCACGGTTCTTAAAGCTTAACACTTTTGGCCTCCTTATGTGTCACCATTTTAGCGTCATGGACTGGGAGAAGCAAGTGGGATGAGTAGCGATATTGTCATAGAGTCCTCCCAACAAATATCGAGGTCCTAAATTGTTAAGGGCTCTTATAAGTCATGACTAGCACCTTGAATTTAGCATGGAAACTAACAGGGAGCCAATGAAGGTGTGCCAAGACTGGGGATATGTGTTTATATCAGTACCTGTGATTAGTCTGTACACTGCATTTTGCTGAAGTTTCCATAGCAACTTCAAGGGCAGCCCTACATACTGAATATTACAGTACTGTTCCATATTGGAACAGTGGCTGCGGGTCAAAAAGTCCGTAGGTCAAGGGTCCATTTCCCATAGGAATGCATTGAAAACCATTTAATCCGTTCCAGCCAAAGAAAAAAAAAATCCCAGGATTCCAAAGCTCTGCCCGCTGCCTTCTGTCCCCACTGCCCTCTGCCTCCCGTCCCCGCGGGGACAGGAGGCAGAGGGCAGTGGGTGCATCTTTGGAAGCCCTGGAAGCTGCTCTGAGCCTGCTGCCAGCTTTCGGCTTCCCGGGCTTCAAGACCCCCTCCGCTGCCCTCTGTCTCCCGTCCCCGGGCGCGGAGCGGCTTTCGGCTTCCAGGGCTTCCAGAGCTGCTCCCACCACTCTCTGCCTCCTGTCCCCGCAGGGACGGGAGGCAGAGGGCAGCAGGTACAGGAACCAAAGCCTGAGCTTTTCATACCTTGAAATTTTCATAAGTAGTAACTTTCGTAAGTCAAGGGTCCACTGTAATCTATTTTAGAGATTAGCAATGCATGAGCCACTGTTGTTAAGTTTTTTTTTTTCTCTGGGTAGGGCTGCAGCTGTTACCCATTGGGACATCCTGAAAGGGTAGCTGTTTTATGTATCAATACAATTTTTACAGCTCTCTCTCTCTCTCTCTCTCTCTCTCTCTCTCTCTCTCTCTCTGACACACACACACACACACACACACTTCAAATGATCTTCCAGCCTTTTGGACAAAAATTTGGAAGTTATGGGAAGGCAAGAGGAAGAATAGAAATTCCCTGTATTCCAATCCCTAATCCCATTTGTGTAAAATGTCTTTATAACCAAATGTTGGTCCAACAATTACAGTAGAGGTCACACTATCTTAAGGGTAAGATTCACAGTTTGCAGCTTGCAGAAGGAACAAAGCTGCTTGTATATATTCTGACCAAGAGAAAGTTGAAATAGGATTTGCCATTAAAAAAAAAGAATTACAATCTGTTCTGATGGAGGATATACAAACTATTGCACTGGAAGAGCAGCCATGAGACGTGGGCAGGGCTCAAGTAGAAACACTGCCTGAAAGGAAAACCTTTCTTCGTGAACACATCATGGGCAGAGCCTTTTTCTATCTCACATGTAAGAGCCCATTGCACATGATGATTCTTTCTCTGACATTTGTGCAAGGGGATTGTCACTATCCTCATATTTATTTGATTTTTATACCACTCATCGGACTGCCAAGGCCACTCTGGGCGGTTTACCAACAGGATAAACAATAATAATATAGGAAAAAGGGTAATTAACAACATCCGAATAAAAGATAAAAGGTACTAGACAAATTACACGGAAAAGCGCATAATAAAAGCATAGTAAAAAGAAATGAAAATGCATGTGGATAAGCCCCATTGCTTTCAACAACACATTTACTAACCTGCAACACACTGAGCTGAGCACTACACTTAGGGCCATTACTCTCCTCATTTTCTAACAGGTTTCTGCCCACTGCACTTTGCCTATATTTCTTGTGATTAGTTTACTATGCCTTATTTGGATGAGGCACTTGTCGTTTGTTAAAAGTCCTGATGGTGAAATTATTTGTATTCTTTGCCTTCTAGTTTCCCATGAGTGTCTAAATCTTTTACATGGGGGCTGTGGACTTCGTTTGTTTAATAAAACCTGCACAACACCTGCATATACACTTGTTGCTACGACCCTTCTTTTTCCTTACAGAATCCTAAGTGCTTCACTTCCAGTTCTAAGAAAGCAGTATGTGGCTTTGAAAAACGCAGGGTTAGCAAAAGGTGACATTGAGGATGACTTCCGGGAATTTGAACAGCTGCTTCACAGAGAGAAAACTGTTGTTTGGGCCGACCAAATGGATGAAGAAGAGGTCAAGGAAAATGATCAGCCTATGATGTCTGCCATCGTAGCCTTTCCACAACTTGTGAGCCACAAGAATACTCCTTGCCGTAAGTAGATATTTGCCTTTTGCTAGCTAGGAGATTTGTGAAGTTTTAGAAGTAACTTCTTCAGGCTTTGTACATGGCCTGTAGAAAAGAAGAATCCATGTACTAGCTCAGCTTTCCCCAATCTGGGTCCTCTGATATTTTTACCTTATGCCTCCCCTCAGCCCCAGCCAGCATAGCCAAATAGTCCGCAATTATGAAGGTTGTAAATCAAAACACCTGTATAAATCCTGGTCAGGAAGCCTGTTTTAGCTGTTTATATTTCATGAAAAGGTGCTTAAATTTGTCTGGAAATGACTGTCCTGCCAGGGACTGAAAATACCCCATGGGCTGGTGAGATTATTATACAGTATCAGGGTTCCGTCTCCTCATTCTGCTGCGTTTCCACAGTAAGTACTCTGTTCTTGGGTTCATGAGATGAACAAACCAAAGATGTTTAGATTCTGCTTATCCAGCTACTGTTACTGAGGTGGGTTTCCACTCTCGCCTGCCTTTCCCAATTAATCTGTCCTGGTAGAGAAGGCCTTTTCAGAGAGAGAAGCTTATTGGCCTATAGGATGGGAGGGCTAAGGAAATCTCTTCTCATAATCATCTCTAGGCTTGCTCTAGAGCTGTCTGAAATGAGATGCCTTTTCAATTTTCAAAGAGAATCCCCTTAGGATTCTAAATCACAGGATAGGGTGACAAGGGCTATCTGAACTGTTCAGAGTATGGTGCGAGGGTAGGGTTGATCAACATTTCTTATACGTCTTGACATAAACCTGGCAAGGAGGAGAGTCATTATCTTAGGGGGCTATGTATTTTCTTTGGCCCTTTTCATTTCACCTCTATCTAGTAAGACTTTTCTAGCAGTTTTTCCCTGCTTTCATTCTCCCACATTCCCAGAGTTTGCAAAGATGGTTTGGGGGGAAAGAGACTTGCTCAGTGCTTTCTCACAACTTCCATGTAAATAAGGACTGTAAGCTCCTCATGCTCAAAAGGCCTGCTGTGCCCAGGCAAATCTGTTGGAGCCAGGAGAAGATGAGAGTAGGTGGACAGGAATAATGAGAGGAAGACTGTGAAAGTCCGCATCAGTAACAATAGCTGGAGAAATAGCTTCTTACTTGAAAGATTTTGACTTGTTGACCTTGAGGTCCAGACAGGATTTGGGGGCCTGAATATTGATGGTAGACATACCTCTCCCCCCCACCCCCAAATGAGAGTAAAAAGCACAATAGAGTAGCAACAAACATCCCTACATTAGCTGGGGGAACATACTTCTGTTGGAGGAGTGGGGATAGCATTTTCCCTTGCTAACTTTACAATACATTTTCTTGAAAGTTGTAACAGCTGCCAGAAAGAATGTTACTCCTCTTCGTTGTATACTTGAATGCATTTCTTCACTGATCTCAGGTATGATAACTAAGGTGTGAGCTAGCAAAAAAAAAAAAAAAAAGGAAATGAGGTGCATCCTCATCTTAGGTCTATCTCCATATACAGATCTGTATCTTATATAGCAGTTGTGAATTCAGCATTGGCATGACCTGACAAACATGTCAGTTCTAAGGCAGGCATTGAAGTGAACCTATCATCAAAGGAACAGAGAAATGCTAGTGCAAAACCTAGTCCAGATAATCATATGGAGACCCCTGTATGGAGGAGTTTACATACTGTTTGAGGTATGATAGCTCAGAGCTTTGGGCTGTTTTGGAATGGCAAGGAAGATTCCCCATTATGCACCTGGTGGATTATAGCTGTATGTTAGCTTTACACTGCCAGTTGGGTGCAGTGATCATTTGTCATGTGAAGTTTCCACAGTAGTGATTGTACAGGGTTTGTAGGGTCTCTCTGATTTACTGTTGGACTAAAGTATCTATTTTCCAAACAGGCTGAGTCGTCAGCTGCAGTAAGGAACCTTTCAACCAGTGGTGCCCCGCATAGTGACGTTAATCCGTTCCAGGATTTACGTCGCTATCCGGATTTGTCGCTATGCAGGGGGGAACCCATAGGAACGCATTAAACTCTGTTTAATGCGTTCCTATTGGGGAAAAACTCACCGCTATGCAGGGAATTCTCCATCCGGCTGCCATTTTCGCCACCCGGTAAATGTGGGCAGCCATTTTCTGCACCCGGCGGCCATTTTGGAACCGCCGATCAGCTGTTCCCAAAACATTGCAATGCGATATTTTGCCTATTAAAACATTGCAATGCAATCGTATTAGCGATCGCAAAAAATGCGTCGCTATGCAGATTCATCGTTAAACGGTGCGCTCATTAAGCTAGGCACCACTGTACTGCTTCTGATCTTTTTCCATTGGAAGTGGGAATGTTTCCATTACAATTTTTGCTGTGATTCCAAGGGAGGGCCTGTGAGTGGTACAGCAAATGCTTTGCATGCGGAGGGGCCGAACAGGCCATAGGATCTCTTCCTGTGTCCTTTTGCAGTCACCCCATCTGTTTTCTCTGTGCTTTCCCACACTTACCACCATACTGTAGAAGCACAGTGCTGTGAAGTAATTTTGGAAAGGTATGGGCTAGAGGAGAAAATCAGCTCAGCTTTGTTAGATAGCGAGGGAGGTGTTTTCTCAGGTCCTCCTAAGGTAGGCAGTTTTCAAGTGTCTGGGTGGGGGAATTGGTGGGGTTTGACTCTCTTTATCAGCAGTAGGCGGGAGGGATGGCACTCCTGTGAGAGGAACCTTGCTCTCACCTCTGATCTTACATATCCCCCCCATCCGAGAGGGCCGTCCACTCCGCCTCGCTCATCGCCCAGGGACCCTGCCGGGAGAAAGAATCCACATTGCCATGCTCTTTGCCTTTCCTGTACTGTACAATGAAAGCAAAGGGTTGGAGTGCAAGGTACCAACGTGTGAGACAGGGATTGGTATTCTTCATCTGGGCTAACCACTGGAGGGGAGTGTGGTCCATCACTATCGTAAAAGGGGCACCCAGCAAGTAATACCTGAGAGCATGGGTCACCCACCGGATGGCAAGGGCTTCCTTTTCAATGACTGCATATTTTCTCTCTCTGGGCGTTAACTTATGACTCAGATATAGAACTGCATATTGTACTCCATTACGCATCTGAGATAACACTGCCCCGAGACGTAGGTTGGAAGCAGCAGTGAACAGGACAAATGGTAAATGGAAATCTGGGGCAAACCTGGTGGGGAGCTCACACAAAATTGATTTAAGGGTCTGGAACACCTTCTCTTGTGGTTCCCCCCATTGTACCCACTGCAATGCTCTCTTTTTAGTGAGGTGCGTTAGAGGGGCTGCCAAGGTGGAAAACTGGGGCACAAATTGATGATAGTACCCAACTAACCCCAGGAACTGTTGTACCTCCCTCTTCGTACGGGGACATTACCACCGGGTTATCTTGGTGACCTTTTCCTCTTGAGGTTACATTTCTCCATTACCTGCTCTAAACCCCAGGCATTCTACTTTGGGGTGTGCTATTTTACACTTCTTGGGGTTCGCTGTCAATCTGGCTCTCCTCAATTCGGTCAGCACCCTGTGCAAGTGTGCCACATGTTCCTCCCAAGATAAACTATATAATGATGTCATCAATGTATGCTGCAGCACAATCTTGCACAGGGGTCAGCACCTTGTCCATGAGGCTTTGGAATGTTGCAGCTGCCCCATGAATCCCGAAAGGCATTTTGGAGAATTGGAAAAGGCCAACAGGTGTGGAAAAGGTGGTTTTCTCCTTCTGACTTCTTAAAGGTATCTGCCAGTAAACTTTCATCAGATCTATTGACAAGAGTTATCTGGAGCCCCCCCCCCAGCTTATCCAGTATGTCTCCCACCTTCGGCATAGGGTAAGCATCGAATTTGGAGACCATATTCACTTTTTGATAGTCTATACAGAATCTTATAGACCCATCCAGTTTAGGCATGGGAAATGCAGATTCAACATAAGAACTTTTCCACTTGAGAACCACCTTCCAATACGGATTAAGTTCTTAAGTAGAGACCCCACTGTAGACCCATCCAGTTTAGGCACAACCATTGGGTAGCTGCGCCACAACTGTTTTGATGGTTTGCTGACCCCCAGCTTCAACATCTCATTTACCTCTTTCTCAATGACCTGAGCTAGTTGTCGGGGCCATGTCCTCCCTGTTCTCCTCACCACTACCCCTGGAAGCGTTTCAATACAGTGTTCCTCTCTGTGGATGTACCCAGGTTTGGTAGAGAACACAGCTGGGAATTCTTTTTCTAACCTCCAGATTTGATCCAGTTGTTGCTGACCTATCCTATTGTCAACAACCACTAGGCAGTTCGGTTCAGGTTCACTCAAGGCGGCTTCTGACCCTAGTTCCATATCTCCACAGTCCCTGAATAGGGCCTCTATCTACTCAGAGCTTCAGTAAGTTCACATATAGCACTTGTAATTTCTTTTTCTTATCCTCCATATTCACCTCATACGTAGTCCTCTTCACTTATTTTCCGAGTTACAGTGGGCCCTCGACTTACAAACTTCATCCATTCTGGAAGGAAGTTCGTACCTCAAAAAGTTTGTAAGTCGAAGTACCATTTCCCATTGAAATGCATGGGAACAGAATTAATCCATTCCAGCATTTCAAAAAAATACCAAAATAAAAATAAAAAGAGCAAGTCTCATGTTGGGACTGCAAAAACTCTCTCACACACAAAACCACAGAAACATAA